TGAGCCACTCTAACTAGAAGCTTTATCAAAAAGGAAAGTTTTAAGCCTTAATATCAGTCCTGATATGAAAGAAAATTCTGATTCAGATATCTGTAAAGATCAGCCTGATTCATAAAGGCAGATCTAGTTAATTTTTTTTCGTCTGCTGTTAGCCTAAATAAGCAGGAGCAGTATTATGTCAAAATAGTTTAAAATATACAAATATTTTACATTTTAGATCAAAAAACCTTTTTTTTCTGTGAATATTTTCTGTCCACAACTCCTCAAGACATCAGGCTTTACATTTTGCATCTAATCTTCTTAAAGAGAATGTTTTTTGTCTGATTATTCTTAAAAAAAAAAAAAAAAGCTTGATTAATCAATTAGCAAATTAATTGTTATTTACAGCTTAACAAACTCTTGTTTTCTGTATGGATTCAGTGATTTTTCTGGATTAAGTGTTTGAGCATCGATACTTTGCAGAGTAAGGATGTTTCTGACGAGCTCAGTTCTGATCCAACTTCTTATTTCTGATATCAAACCGATGTTTCAGCTTAGAGTGTCGTAGATTATTCTAGATTATTTCTCCTGCAGCATCAGGTTTGGGTCTGTGGGCTGTTAACTCGGCCGGAAACCAGAATTTAAAGACCCTTTTAATCCCAGAATTTGGTCAAATTTCTCTTTTCTCTGAGTTTGTTGGATTTTGTCCCAACATGAAACATCTGAGAAACCCTTTAGCGGAAGCAGAGCAGATCAGGAGCAGCTCTGTTGGTCAGGAGATGAACCAAGATGGCCGACGGCGGTACGGCTGTCTAAGAGCGTCTCTGAATGTTTTCCAGACTCCAAGCCTCATCAGGACGTGCTGAGCGAGGATAAGATCCGGATAGTTCCCATCTCGGAGGTGAAAGGCGTTCGAGGTAAAAGGATCTCCGTTCGCTTTTTCCTGCAGAATCGGCACCAAAACGTCTGACGGTAAAACCTGCTGCTTTTCCAGCGGGACCCAGACTGCTGGCGTACCTGACCAAGACGCTGCTCCAGTCGCTGCAGCTTCTCTGGGTTCTTCTGTCCCTGGAGCCGCAGGCTCACATCCTGATGCAGGTCCGTTCGCTCCTCTTTTCTCCTTTATGGAGTCTCTGTTTTGAGTCGCTGTAGCTTTTCTCACCGGTTGATGAATCTACGCTCTGCTCCCAGAATCCTCCGGGGCTGCCTGGGATCGCCGTGGCGTGGCTGGTGTGCGTCCTGCGCGGCAGCGAGCTCATCATCGACTGGCACAACTACGGCTACACCATCATGGCTCTGAGCCTCGGTGCGTCGCATCCCCTGGTCCGACTCGCCAAGTGGTCCGTCCCATCGACACGACTTTTCTGTTTACTTCCTGTTTCTGCTGGGATTAATGGTTTGGTGGAAACTGGCTCATTGGAAAACTGGGAGATTAAAGTGATTCTTGAACTTTTAGTTCAACTCAGGCAGAATGAAGCTGATTTCTCAATCATCTTTATTTCCTCCTGCAGTTCAGACTCTTAATAATAATTCTGGCTTAAACATGTATATA